CACCCTTTGGGTTGACGATTTTCTCTAGGTTGCTGCTGATGATATGATAAAGCTCAGCCTGAGGAAGACCAGAAGAACAGAGTTAGGCCCTTGGCTTCCCACCGCCTTCCATCCACTTCCCTCAGGAGCTTACTCCACACTCACATAGAAGGCCCTCAGGTCCAGCACCATGGCCCTGAGTACCCCGTAGGCTGCTTCATCTCGCTCATGCACCAAAGCGCGGTAATCCATCTGGGAAGTAGGAGACAAAACTGAGTCAGTGCCAGCAGAGATTGGGACATTAATTTTGTTTTCTTTTTTAAAAAATATTTTTATGGTTTATTTAACTTTTATTTTATGTGCATTGGTGTGAAGGCGTCAGATCCCCTGCAACTGGATCTTCAGACAGTTGTGAGCTGCCATGTAGGTGCTGGGAATTGAACCCGGGTCCTCTGGAAGAGCAGTCAGTGCTCTTAACCACTGAGCCACCTCTCCAGCCCCCTAATTTTGTTTTCTCATACAAAGAAGAGTTTAACTGGAAGATAAGCTCCAACAAACACAGAATTAAATAAGGAAAGGGTCAAAGGTTGTTAGAGCCCTAATCAGTTTTGCTTTCTGGAATATATTTTCCACATTGTCCAAGTCAAAATCAAAACAAAGAGGATCTCTTCTCCCCACCTCAATTCCACCCCTGGCCAGCCTCAGCTAAAATGCTGGACTATGCACTCACTACATGGGTCTCCTTGGAGGCTTTGGCTACAGCATCCCCACGTTCAGAGAAGTACCTGTGAATAAGGAATGTGTGCGTTAAAGGAGATGTACAGCCACACACACCCCACCCCTCAGTCTGCTATCATTCCAACAGATCTGCCTTGCTTTGAGAATCCTACAGCAACGTCTCTGTAGGTCCCTGTGGTCTTGTGGCTGTTCTCACTTGGAAATGGTTGTCTGGAAGGCTTCTACTTTGGTCTTGACAGCATTCACTCTCTCCAGAACCTTCTCCTACAGAGATATAAGAAGCAAAGAAAATTCTTCATCTCCCCTTTTACTATTCCGTCTTCTTTCTACTTCCTAGTTTATGCCTTGCTCCTGTCCCTCACCCACAAGTCTCTTCCGACTCTGTCTTCAGTCACCGATTCTTACCTGAACTGCCACCCCAAAATCATTCCCATCCTCAATCTTGGGGATCAGGTGCTGGATCCATGTGATTACCTGTGTTAAAAGGAACACTCACTCAACAATCCAACTAGAATCTCATCATGCCACTTCTCAAAAAACTATTTATTTTTATTATTTTATTCTTTATGTGTATGGGTATTTTGGCTTCATGCCTATCTATGCACCACGTGCATTCCTGATGCCCACATAAGGCCAAAAACAAAACAAAACAAAACAAAACAAACAAACCTGGAACTGGAGTTACAGATGGCTGTGAGCTGTCATGTGGGTGCTAGAAATCAAACTTGGGTCCTCTGGAAGAGCAACCAGTGCTTGCTTGCTTTCTTTCTTTCTTTCTTTCTTTCTTTCTTTCTTTCTTTCTTTCTTTCTTTCATTTCTCCTTCCTTCCTTCCTTCCTTCCTTCCTTCCTTCCTTCCTTCCTTCCTTCCATTTTCAAGACATGGTTTCTCTGTGTAGCCCTGGCTGTTCTGGAACTCGCTCTGCAGACCAGGCTGGCCCAGGACTCACTGAGATCAACTGCCTCTGCCTCCCAAGTGTTGGGATTAAAGGCACACACCACCATGCCCAGCTAGCAGTACTCTTAACCTCCGAGCCATCTCTCCTTTCCGTAGCAAGATGAATGATTCTTCTGTTTGACTGTTAAGACAGGGTTTCTCTATGTAGTCCTGAATGTTGTGGCACTCCATATGTAGACCAGGCAGGCCTTGACCTCACAGGCTCCTTCTGCCTCTGCCTCCCTATCATACCACTTCTTATTAACAGATATGTCTAACTGAGCACTTACTACGTGCCAGGTGTCATATTATAAATTACTGATCTCATCTAACCATGCAATCTTCCAAAGCCTACAGTCTGACTGTACCATTTAACACAAGAAACAAGTGAGTCACAGAATGTCTAAGGGAGCTATATAAATGACAGAATCAGGATTTGATCTAGATTCTTTCTAGGGCTCAAGCTTTTAAACCAACTCACTGTATCATATCACCTACACTGTGTACCTCATATCATAGGTGGAGATTACAGAGGCTACAGCACAGGCTCTCAGTTTTAGAGCTACCATTATGAAACCACACAGATGTCAAATGAGAAAAACAAAGGATATCTAAACCCAAAGGGAGAGGACAGCAGGTAAGGTGCTTGCTGTGCAAACACGAATACACGACGACTTGCATTCCAATTCTTAGCATACACATAAAAGCAGGGCACAGTGGAGTACACTGTAACCCCAGTGTTGGAAGTGGTGGTGGTTAAAATTGGCAGATCCTGGAGGCTCCCTGGTGACCTAGGTCGGCTAAAACTCCAGGTGCAGTGAAACCATGCCTCAAAAAAAAAACTCCAAATGTTGATCTTTGGCCTCCAAACATATACGCAATTGAAAACACCTACACACGCCTGTGTGTGCATACACAATTTACACACACACACACACACACACACACACACAAATCCAAGACACAAAAGCAAGTTTCCTTATTCAATACTAGGTCTCTAGATGAAAGCTCTGAATTGAACATAGCTTTTGCCTTGCTTTTCTTCCCACATCCTCCAGCTTCCTGGCTTACCAGAATGCATTTCTCTTTGAGAGTCCAGACTTCTGGTTTAATCAAAGCAAGCAGGGCCAAAAGCTTCTCATTCCCAGGGAGAAAGCCACACTTAGGGACTATGAAAAAGATGCAGACAGACTTTTTGGTTACTCCACATCAATGTACCGGTTTCCCTCCCAGTCACCCAGTTTTCCATTACCGTCTTTCTTCTCTTGCTTGTCTGTTTCCATCTAAGGCAAAAGGAGAAAAGCAACTTTAGGGAACCCATGGAGGCTACAGCGGTGTCACTGGCTTACAGTCCACAGCTGTGCGCACTGAATGCCTTACCTCATCGTCCTTGGGTGGGGGATCTGGGATGGGGATGTCCAGAGGAGCCCGGAGGGAGGAGAGGTCAGTCACATTGAGGAAATCCTCCTGCAGAATTTACTCTTAGGCACTGCCCAGCCTCCTCCCCTCGCCAGTCAGAGCCTCCACTCCATTCCCTCCTCTCTCCCTCCCAGTCCAGGCTCACGCTTTACATCAGGCTAAGTTCCCAGCATGCTGACACTAGCTGTCAGAGCACAGGTGGTGGAAAGTCGCCGGGCGATGGAGTAGAGGAGTCTTAAACCACTCACCTGCAAGAGCTGACTCAGAGAGAGGATTTTCTGTGGCAAAAACGTGGTGAGGAAGTCATCAGCCTGTGAGTTACAAAAACAGTCATACAAGATGTCCGCGGAGAAGGATGAGAAGAAGGCCCTCAGAAATCACCGAATCACAAATGAGAAAACTGCAGAACTGGAACGTAAGGGACTTGCCCAATCTGATGGGTGGCAGCAGTAGGAGTGTGGGTGCTTTGGGCACCATCTTTCCCTCTCGGCAGAAGAGGGTGGGGTGGGGGAGTGGCAAACGCAGTTAAGAGTTCTAAGAGCGATCAGATTACGAGGAGTCGAAACCAATCAGTAGCGATCACCTTGAGTAAGCAGGAAGGTTAGGAAAGGCCAAAACTAGGATGGATTGGGGGGTTACTCCGAAGTTGAGGCCCTTAGATCACGGCGCTAAGGTCAAGTCGCTTGGATCCAGAGACTCACCTCCTGGAAAAGGTTTTGTCTGAAGACATCCACCTGCACAGACAGCAGTAGTCAGACGCGGGTTAGGGAGTCCGGTTGTAAAGAATAAGAGCCCACCCTCTCCAACCGGGTGCCCTCCGACCTAAGCTCATGCCTGTCCCACAGTGCCAGTTTTCCCTGAACACCCTGCTCAGGGCACAGACTGGCTAAAGGGCAGGGCAGTGGTAATCCCCGAGTAGAAATGAAAGCCCTAAAGAAGAGTTCTCACGCGAGGCCCTGGTGCCCAGGAGCACCCAGCTTTAGCTCCGTTAGGACTCCTCACCCGTTTCTGGCCTCCGGTCCCCATTTACCTGTTTACGGGCTTCTCCACTCAGCCGAACCCCACAAGGCTTGGCCATGCTTCTCTAGCTGCTAGCTCTAGACTCTCGGGGCTAGTCGCCCCAGCTTTCGCTTTCACTCTCCAGGCCCAGACCCACCCCCTCAGCCACGCCCCCTTCCCTCTTTCCCCCCCCCCCCCTCCTCCTGGCAAGCCACTAACAGTAAATAGTCCGTCAGCCATTCCCAACCAGATGCCACCAGGAAGGGCGGTGTTGGCTTCATCACCAGCCTGGGGGTTGTCCAGGGGAGGGGCTAGGGGAGCGTGGGACGGGGCGAAAGGAACAGCGGCTGCTTCTCAAGAAGGGCGGAGCTTCTACCTAGGGCCGCCCAGGGGAAGTGCTGACTGAGAGAGTAGGACCGTTAAAAAAAAAAAAAAAAAAAAAGGGGGGGGAGGGTTCAGGAGTGGGGCTCCCTGAGGTTAGACCTTAAGGAAGGGACCGAGTAGCATCCGAGAGAGTAGAAGGGTAGGAAGAGGGAAAGCCTGGCAGGATGGAGGGAGCAGGGGGAGGGGAACTGCCTTGCCTTCAGGACAGACTGGAGGAAAGCGGGAGTCGCCTGAGCGGGCTAAGGGCGGCCAGAGTTGGGTCCCCGGAAAGGTGGGAACTTCCCCGCTGGGGACTGGAATTGAGCAACACCGTGGAAATAAAGATAGGAAAGCTTTGGGCAAAATAGACCAACCCCAGGCGGGGGAGGGGGATCCCTCCGGAAGAGGCGGAGACAGCCCGAGACGGCGGAGAGCACTGTGGGAGGAGCCCGCGCCGCGGCTTCCTCATTGGCTGCAAACTCGCCTCCCTTCCGGATTACAGCCCTTCCGTCACCCTGAGCCCGCCCCTTCCTCTAACGCGGTCCGCAGTCCCGCCCTCTGTGCCAGTACTTCCTGTTCCCGGCAACCCCCCCCCCCTTGGCAGCTGCCCGGGCTGAGCGGGGCGGTGGCTTGAGTGACCCTGGCTGCAGCGGCGCCGCGCGCCCCCGCGCCTCGCGCCTCGCGCCTGTCCCGGGTGGACAGTCAAGCTGAGCCTGTCTCCGGTCTCGGGATGCCGGGAGAGGAGGAGCGAGCCTTCCTGGCAGCCCGCGAGGAGCTGGCGAGCGCCTTGAGGCAGGATTCCGCGCAGGTATTTCCCCCGGAGCAGCTCAAGCCGTTTCTGGCCACCTCTCTGCCACCAGCCGCCCGCTACCTGCAACTGGATGCCGGACGCCTGGTCCGCTGCAACGCTCATGGGGAGGTGAGGCTAAGCCCGCCCGGCGTGCCATGGAAGGGACTCAGAGGCCAGATGGTCTAGCCTCATAATCTTGCTTTTCTGACTGCTCCTAGCCTCGAAACTACCTCAACACTCTATCCACGGCCCTGAACATCCTGGAAAAATATGGGCGCAACCTCCTCAGCCCACAGCGACCTCGGTACTGGCGCTCAGTGAAGTTTAATAACCCTGTCTTTCGCAGCACGGTGGATGCTGTGCAGGTGAAACCCTTGGGCCTTATCGGAGGGAACTAGACGTATACTGGGGGTTAACCAGAAGGGACTTGGGGGGAGGGGTTCTGAGTGGGGAACCAGCTCTCTTGCCTAGGAGGCCTGCTGGCTAGTGACCTGGTCCTGAATGTGTCCCGGCAGGGGGGCCGGGATGTGCTGCGGTTGTACGGCTATACGGAGGAGCGCCCAGATGGATTGAGTTTCCCTGAAGGGCAAAAGGAGCCGGATGAGTACCAGGTTGCCATAGTCACACTAGAAGTGCTACTGCTTCGCACGGAGCTCAGCTTGTTGTTGCAGGTGAGATGGCCTTCTGATTCTAAGGTCTTTAAGGTGTAGACTGGGAACCCAACCTAATTCGAGGCACTTTGAAAGCCCGCATACTGGTGAATTCTGTTTCTGCAGCAGTCTGGAAGCTTCTGCTACCCTTTTTCCCTCCAAATGTTAGGGGATCAGGCTTACAAGGAGAACTTTGCTCAAGGTGGGAATTCTTTTAAATCTTGTTTGCAGAATAAGCATCCAAGACAGAACGCACTGGACGAGCTGCTAAGAGACAATGTTGAAGACGATGTAAGGAAGGCAGAAAGGGTGCTGTTAAATAAGGGACTAGGTTTATGGGATTCTGTCCCCCAAACACTTGTGCATTCTCTGCTTTCTTCCTCAGATGCTGCAGCTTTCAGAGTTTCACCCCCTTTTGAGAGAGATTGTTCCTGGTCCCCTCCCCTCTGCGCCAGGTATGACTGGCCCTGTGTGAAAGTATTGGATTAGATTGATGTAAATTTAGGTCTTTTATCTTCTTGTATTTGTCTTTTATTTCAAAAGATTAAAGTCGTCCCCCCCCCCCTTGGGTCCAGATCTTGTAAAGAAGAGTTTTGTGACTTGCCTCAGCCCATAACAGATTTGAGTGTAGCCTGGTCTTATCTCCTTTGATTTTAATTTTTAGTGTTTTGGGGGGTGGGAGGGTAGTGTAGTGTGGTGTGTGGATATGTGCATGTGGGTGCAGGTGCCCACAGAAGCCAGAGGCAACTGATCCCCTGGAGCTGGAGTTGCAAATGGTGCTGAGCTGCCCAACCTGAGTGCTGGAGGTTAAACTTGGCTCCTTTGCAAGAGCAGTGTTGCTCTTAACCTCTAAGCCATTTCTCCAGCTTTATAACTTTTTAAGAAAGTTACTCTGGGGACTGGAGAGATGGTTCAGTGGTGCAGAGCGTCTGTTGCTCTTACAAAGGACCTGGTCTCAATTCCCAGTACCCTTCCTAACTTCACAGCCTTTCCTAACTCTAGTTCCTAACGTATCTTTGATCCCAGCACTTGGGAGGCAGAGGCAGGCAGATCTCTGTGAGGTTGAGACCAGCTTGGTCTACAGTGAGCTACAAGTCAGCCAGAGCTACATTTTGGTGTGGGGCTGGGAGTAAAGATGATATTTGTTTATGTCTGACTTGTTTTGCTCAATATGGTATCATCAAGTTTCATCCATTTTCCTATAAGTAACAAGATTTTGTTCCTTGTGACTAATACTCCAGTTTGTGTGTTACTATAAGCTACTTATTATGTGCAACCTGTTTTCTTCATCTGTCGGTAGGTACACGGTGTGATTCATGTCTGGGCTGTAGTATATATGTTTACTTACTGGTATGTGAATGTAGTTTTTTTTTTTTTCTTTCTTTGAAGTTACGCTTTTTTGATTTTATTTTTTCAGGCTCCTCCCCTGTCCCCTGCTTTCTCTGTGGTTCTGCCCCAGGCACACTGCACTGTCCAGCCTGTAATCAAACCTCATGCCCAGCTTGTGATCTTTTATTCCATGGACATCCATCCCGCTCTCATCACCTTCGCCACGCCCTGCCTGGGGCTCACCAAACCATTAACCTGAACTCTAGGTGAGGGGCTCCCTTTTGTCAGTGATAGTGAAATTAAGAAAATTAAAGATGACTCAAGTGTCTGTTATATACCAGGTTCTCTAGTAAAGACTGTTTCATAGAGAACAGTTAGTCTAGCCATCAAGGAAGCTATCGACGTAAACTCTAAGCAAGTGGCAGTCATGATAGACAGATTGTTATGATACACAGGTCGGTAGTAGGTGGACAGTCTTGTCTGAAGAGCACCCCATTCAGTGTTAGAAACACCTAGCGTGGGGAGATTAAGGTACTGTGTTAAGAGATGCTACCTGGAAGATGTTAGCTGTACTCTATCCTTTAAATATTGAATCATCTGTGGGTATGGGAGTATTCCAGATAGAACAGCAATCCCAGAAGCCAGAGCTATATATCATAATCTAGGCAGTGTGAGATTCTCAGAGGTGAGGAGACTCAGGTACTAACTTCCACCTCAGCTAGCCATGTCTTCTCCTCTATTACAGTTTGCCTGCCTCGTCCCAGCCACAGCCCCACTCAGCCTCCCTGGCTCTAGGAGATAGCTCTTTTTCTTCCCCTGATACTGCAAATGCTTGTCTGCCCTGGCGCTGTCCTACCTGCATCACACAAAATGAGCCTTGGGCAGTGCTCTGTGCAGCCTGTAGTCAGCCTAGAGGCTGTAAGATGCTGGGAATAGAGGGGTCCCAAGGAACTGGGGGCCCAGAACCTGAGCCTGCACGGGATCAGTGGGCCTGCCAGAGTTGTACCTTTGAGAACGAGGCAGCAGCTGTCCTGTGTGCCATATGTGAGCGACCTCGACTGGCCCAGCCTCCCAGCTTGGTGATGGACTCCCATGATGCTGGTGTTTGCCACCAGTCCCTTAAGGTAACCCATCCTGGCTGGCCTTCCCGGCTCTTTATTTGCGTCTGTTAACCTCAAGCTGTTCTCTCTATCATATCCCTTGTCTTTGGTTTCCCCAGTTCTCTGTGTTTCTTTCATGAACCTAAGCTACACAGTCAGTAGGATAATTCTCTTTACCTTTCCATCAGGAGGATATTTTGCTCTCGTCTGCCCAGCCTCAAGTCTGGTACTGTGATCACTGTACGTTTTGCAACTCAGACACTGTCTGGGTATGCGCTATGTGCAACCGAACCCGCAACTCCATCGTACAGCATGCCCTTCGACCCTATGCTAGATCTTTGGAAAAGGATCCCCCAAAGCCTGGGTCCCCAGAACACCTCAGCACTTCCCTGCCTGGTTCCTGTGGAGACCCTGAGAAGCACCGCCAGGATAAGATGCGGAAGGAAAGTCTCCAGCTAGTGAGCATGATCCAGGTAAGGGTGTGGATTGGGCCTGGGTTGAGATGGGCTGAGCTTTGGGGGAAGAAGATGCCAGTTTATTAGTTAGCATTCTTTTATTGTTGTTTTTTATTTTTTGAGATAAAAGGCATGCACCACCATGCCTGGCCAGCATTCTTTTTTTTTTTTTTTTTTTTCTTTTCCAAGACAGGGTTTCTTTGTGTGGTTTTGGCTATCTTATAACTCACTCTGTAGACCAGGCTGACCTCGAACTCACAGAGATCCACCTGCCTCTACCTCCTGAGTGCTGGGATTAAAGGCGTGCACCACCACCGCCCATCTCCGGCTAGCATTCTTTTTTTTTTTTTTTTTTTAAATTTATTTATTTATTATGTATACAATATTCTGTCTGTATGTATGCCTGACGGCCAGAAGAGGGAACCAGACCCCATTACAGATGGTTGTGAGCCACCATGTGGTTGCTGGGAATTGAACTCAGGACCTCTGGAAGAGCGGGCAATGCTCTCAACCTCTGAGCCATCTCTCCAGCCCATCCGGCTAGCATTCTTATAAGACTTGTTACTGTTAGCTATAGCTGCTTTACTTTGAATGCTTCGCAGAAGTCAGTTTTCATTCTGTGTCCTGGTCACATAGTCAGTATGCCCCTGCTTAGCCACTGCTGACCAGACTAAGGGTTGGTAGAGTTGTCTTCCTGATGGTGTCTCTGCTGGTGTCTGGGTGAATGCTCTTTAGGAAGGGGAAGCTGCAGGTGCCAGTCCAGAAGAGATCTTCTCAGCTTTACAGTACTCGGGCACTGAGGTACCCCTGCAGTGGTTGCGTTCAGAGTTGTCCTACGTCCTGGAGATGGTGGCTGAGCTAGCTGGACAGCAGGATCCAGGACTGGGTGCCTTTTCCTGTCAGGAAGCCCGGAAAGCCTGGCTTGATCGTCATGGCAACCTTGATGAAGCTGTAGAGGAGTGTGTGCGGGCCAGGAGGAGGAAGGTACCATTATGCGGGAGGCGGGTTGGGGTGGAGAGCACCAGAGCTTGCTTGCTGTTCCCTTAACATCTCAGTGCTTTCGATTGCAGGTGAAGGAGCTCCAGTCCCTGGGCTTTGGACCTAAAGAAGGGTCCCTGCAGGCATTGTTCCAGCACGGGGGTGATGTGGCTCGGGCCCTGACTGAATTACAGCGCCAGCGTCTGGAGCCCTTCCATCAGCGCCTGTGGGACAGAGGCCCCGAACCCACTCCCTGCTGGGATGGGCTGGATAGACAGGTGCTGAGAGTAGGCAAGACACCCAATATCCCACTTAAGGGAATTAGAGAAGATTGAGGGGGAAGATCCTTGGGGTCTGACAGCCACTGTCTCCTGAATCACATTGCAGAGCCTGGTCCGGCGGCTTCTGGCGGTCTACACTCTGCCCAGTTGGGGTCGGGCAGAGCTGGCCCTGTCACTGCTGCAGGAGACACCTAGAAACTATGAGCTGTTGGACGTGGTAGAGGCCGTGAGGCACAGCCATGACCGGGCCTTTCTTCGCCGATTGCTTGCCCAGGAATGTGCTGTGTGCGGGTGGGCCCTTCCCCGCAACCGGGTAAGTCCCTTCCTCCTATACCTGGACTCTGCTCCTGCTGGGCTGCCACCTCACCCTAGATGGCCTTGTCTTCTGCTTTTGTCCTTACACCACTGAAGCCTTCTGATAAGGGAACAGCAGGAACACCCCTTTTAAAAATGTTGGAGCTTTCAACATTGTCTTAGCTTTCTTTTACTATAACAAATACTGAGGTAACCAACTTATGAAGAGAAAAACGTGTATTTTTTTTTTTATACAGTTCTTGAGGTTTTAGTTTTTCATTTGTTGGTTCCATTGTTTTGGACCTTTGCTGGCACATCAGGTAGGAAAATGTGACACCAAAACCACTATGTTCTTGGCTAGGAAGCTAGAAAGTAAGAGACTAGGGCTCCATCATCCTCTTCCAGGACATTCCTAGTGTCCAGAAGACCTGGACGGACGTACCTCCAGCATTCCGCTTTTGACAGCTGTATGGTGCACATCTTTAAGCCTAGATCTCAGGAGGCAGAGACAAGCAAATCTCTGTTAATCTGAGTCCTTTCTCTTCTACGTAGAGAGTTCCAAGCTACACAGGGTCACTAATGAGATTCTGTCTAAAAAAAAAAAAGTTAAAAAAAATGAATAGATCTAAACTATAGCAAACATGCAATAGTATTAAAAAAAAAAGTATACTAAGCTTCTCTGCTCCTCTCCCCTTAAAATCCTTCTCTGAACGCCTGATCTTTATCCATCTGTATGTGCCGAGGGCTCTTTGGAAGCAGATCTCAAGTGTCATGGTCTTATCTATGAGTATTTCAGTATGACCAGACAATGGTGGTGTCTTTAATCCCAACACTCAGGAGGCAGAAGCAGGCAGATCTCTGTGAGTTCGAGGCCAGCCTGGTTTACAGAGCTAGTTCCAGGACAGGCACCAAAGCTACACAAAGAAACCCTGTCTCAAAAAACCAAAGAAGGGGCTGGAGAGATGGCTTAGAGGTTAAGAGCGCTGGCTGTTCTTCCAGAGGTCCTGAGTTCAATTCCCAGCAACCACATGGTGGCTCACACCATCTGTACTGAGATCTGGCGCCCTCTTGTGGCATACATCCAGGCAGAATGTTGTATACATAATAAATAAATAAATCTTAAAAAAAAACAAAAAGTATTTCAGTAACTCTCTAAAAAGTAAATTCTTTAAAATACAACCACAATAGTCACACCAGCAGAAAGTAACAATAATTTTAAAATTTATTCTTTATCTATTGTGTATTTGTGTATATGTCACATGTATGTGGGGTACCCATAGGGTCAAAAGGTTTCGGATCCCCTGGAACTGAAATACAGGTACGGGTGTGAGCCACCCATCATGGGTGCTGGGAACCAAACAAGTCCTCTGGAAGAACACCAAACACTACTGCTGGCTAAGCCATTTCTCCAGCCCAGCAATGATTCTTTTTAATCTGGGCAGGGGTCTCATGTATGAATCACTATGTGGTTAGAGGTGATTGTAGGTGTGCTGAGCCTCCCTCCTCCACATTCTCAGTGCTAGAATTACAGGCATGTGTCATCACACCCAGGTTTAGGAAGCACTGGGGGCTAAACCCCCACCTTCATACAAGCTTTATAACCAGCACAGTAAGTTTGATATCACAATATCTAGGTGATAGAAGCAGATCTCTGTTATGTTCTGAGCTTCACTTGATCTAGGTCCAAGGTGGCAGGTCTTCAGGTGAATATAATCTTAGTCTAGCTCTGTGTTGTGTTTGGTTTTATATATCTATATATATTACATATATAAAAAACTATATACACTGTAAATCATAGAAAGTTGCACAACTAATATGGGGAATTCTGTGGACTCTACCTACCCTCCCATAGTGGTGACATGTAATTATTATGTATCATCAAGACTAAAGTACACAGACAGCATTAGCTATAGTATGGTTCTTCTTGTTGTTTACTTGTTTGTATGTGGAAGAGTGGTGTTTTTTTTTTTTTTTTTTTTTTTTTTTTATGTAGCCAGGCTGGCCTCAGACTTAATATACACCCACGGGCAACCTTGACCTTCTGACCCTCCCCACCTCCTGAGCACTGACAAGGGATGTACTCTTAAGCCTGGTTTATGCAGTGCTAGGCCCTGAACACAGGGCTTTGTTTACCAGCTGAGCTACATCCCCAGTTCATCTGTGTCCGTTTTACAATTCTGTCTCAAATGTGTGATCAACATAGAGTATAGCCCTATGTGTGGCATATGCTCTTAATCTCAGCGTCCCACAAGATCGGAAGTGCTAGCATGCCTTTAGAGGTGTTTGCTTTACTTTGGCGTCACCACTGTCTGCTGCCCTCCTTCCAGCTGTCTTCCGGCGTGGGTTGCCTGCCTAGGACCTCTGGGTGCTGAGCTTGCTTGCTGTTTGCCCATTTAGTTAGACCTCAGTTTTTCAGTGTATCCCAGGGCTGACAGCAGATCTCCTTTTCCTCTTCTCCCCTCCCCCTGTAGATGCAGGCCCTCATCTCCTGTGAGTGCACCATATGCCCTGACTGCTTCCGCCAGCACTTCACCATTGCCCTGAAGGAAAAGCACATCACAGATATGGTGTGTCCTGCCTGTGGCCGCCCTGACCTGACTGATGACAACCAGTTACTCAGCTACTTCTCCACCCTTGACATCCAGGTACTACGGCTGCGATGGTTTAGGTGGACTAGGCTTTGAACAAGTTTCTACCCATCTACCACCTCTGCTTCTTGTCCTCAGCTCAGAGACAGCCTCGACCCAGATGCATATGCCCTATTTCATAAGAAGCTGACGGAGGGTGTGCTCATGCGAGACCCCAAGTTCTTGTGGTGTGCCCAGGTAAGTAGCCTGGCAAAAGGAACTTTCTGGAGGGGCAGGGTATGGTACCACGTCAGGTCTTGAACAGCTTTTGTTCTCTTGCGCTCACAGTGTTCCTTTGGCTTCATATATGAACGTGAACAACTGGAGGCAACATGTCCCCAGTGTCACCAGACCTTCTGTGTGCGCTGCAAGCGCCAGGTGAGTCACGCTCTTCCCTTCAGAAGTGTTGACTAAGCTATTGCCAGGTTCTCTTAGACTCAGGGAGTACAACGGAAACAAAACAGTCCTGCTCTCTAAGCTTAAAGGGCTTGCTGGGTATCTAGGGAGATAATGCAGTTAGTGGGGGGACCCGAGTGCAGTCTCCAGGACCTGTGGAGGTGGCTCAGCAATTAAAAGTCCTAGCCTCCCTTCCATGGAGTTCTCAGCACCTCCATGGCAGCTCACACCCTCTTCTGGCCTTCTTGGACACCAGCCACACACATGTTGAACATGGGAGTGCAGTCAGAACTCCCATGCACATTAAATAAATAAAATATTTGGCTGGGTGGTGGTGGCACATGGCCTTTAAACCCTTGGAAGGCAGAAGCAGGTGGCTCTCTGTGAGTTTGACACCAGCCTGGTCTACAGAACTATTTCCAGGACAGCCAAGACTATAAAACTCTGTCTTGAAAAACAAAAACAAAGAAACAAACAAAAAAAGATTCCAAAGCTGGATTAGGGCCAGTTAAGGTCTCGTTACCAGACCCGACATCCTTAGTTCTAGCCCCAGGCCCCACAGAGGTGAAGGAGAGGACTGACCTCTACTGGTTATCCTCTGACTCCCACACGCACTAAATTAGTTAATTTTTTTTAAAGAAAAATGTAAAGCCAAGTCTGTTGATAGATACTTGTAATTCCTGCACTGGGGTTGGGGAGGTTACTGTTGACAGGCGTATCCCTGGGGCCTGCTGGCTAGTCACCATATCCTGAGTTCCAGGCCAGTGAGATACTCTGTCTCAAAAAGAAGTGGTACAGGGCTTTATACTCTGGCCTCCACATATGCACAAATGTATAGAGAACGGAAGGCTCCCTAGGTAAAGATCAGGCTCAGGGAAAAGGAGAAGAAAGGAGAGAAAGGAGAGAGTGGGTGTAATTCTTTACAGGTATGAGTGGAACCTAAGCTGGGAAGAGCAGCCTTGTCTGCCTGAAGATGGGGATGCCAGACGGGCTCTTCCTTTTCCTTTAGTTTTGATTTCTTGAGAGACTTTGCTGTGTAGCCCAAACTGGCCTAAAACTTGGTGTCGTCCTGGCTAAGCCTCCTGAGGCCCAGCCATGTCTGTTCAGAATTGTTTAAGCACAGGCCTGGAAGTTAAGCCATCCATGCAGAAAGTATTTTGGGGCAAAAAGAACAATCTATAGAAAAGCCAAACTTGGGGGGGGGGGAATGATGTATGGTGGAGTCATGAGAGCAAGAGCGAGAATGGCAGGGTGGCAGCCAGCTGCCAGTGAAGGGCAGCCCTTGAGGCCAAGTAATCCAGAGGTTTGGCTTTTATTTTGAGACTGTGCACGAAGTGGCACTAGCCTTTGTCTTTTAAAAGGTTGGTTTGCTATTGAGGACCTTGTGTCTGTCATTGAACATAACAGAATGAACCCCTGTGCCCCCACCCCTCGGGGTCTGTGCTGCTGACACTAAGGGAGTTTCCCGACATCGACTTTGAAATAAAAAATGGGGTGGAGGGAGCAGAGCATGGTAACCCAAGCAAGCATTTGAAGCACGATTTGACGATTACCTGGAGTAAGGTGGTAGCAATAGGAGCAAAGAGGTGAGGCTTGGATGGGAACAGCCAAGGTTTATGAACAGATGTGTAGTGGTTAGGGAAGTGAAAAACAGTGGCCTTTCAGTGTTCAGAGCTGAGTGAATGGTAGATAGCAGTAGTGTCCTAAGTTGGGACCACTGGGTGTGAGTGGTCGGGCCAACGGGACAGACTAGGGCGTGGGGTAGAGCTTCCATGCACAGCCTTCTTTCCTCCTGGCAGTGGGAGGAGCAGCACAGAGGCCGGAGCTGTGAGGAGTTCCAGAACTGGAAACGCACCAATGACCCAGAATACCAGGCTCAAGGCCTGGCAATGTATCTTCAGGAAAATGGCATTGGTAAGGCTACCCCACTTAGTCTGTCTGCACAGTCTTACCAGAAGAAGCCTCCACCTTGACCTGGGTTGCAGTGCTGCCCTCACCCTGAGCTGCTTCCCCTTGCAGACTGCCCCAAGTGCAAGTTCTCATACGCACTGGCCCGAGGTGGCTGCATGCATTTCCACTGCACCCAGTGTCGGCACCAGTTCTGCAGCGGCTGCTATAATGCCTTTTACGCCAAGAATGTGAGTTCAGAGAGTGAGGGAAGGAGAGAAAAGTGGGCGGCTGTTGGGCTTGAGGGGCGGGGCCAGGGGAAAAGGAATGGTCTATAGGACAGAAAGTACCTCTGCCCTCTTCTCCCATTGCTTGCACATACCCCTTATCATGATCTTCTCTCACTCCCATACCCCCCACCCCACCCCCACATAGGGGTTCTTGAAAGTCCAGGACACCAACAGTTTCCAACTTCTTTCTCCTATTTGGGTTTTACCAGAAATGTCCAGACCCTAATTGCAGGGTGAAAAAGTCCTTGCATGGCCACCACCCTCGAGACTGCCTCTTCTACCTACGGGATTGGTCTGCTGTCCGGCTCCAGAAACTCTTGCAGGTCAGAGGTGGCCAGCCCGGCTGCGTGTGCAGATTACTAGCAGATGGGATGCCGGATGAGCACGAAGGAAAAAGACTGAATGCTAGGAAATGGGCCAGTGGCTGAATCAAGGGAAACAATGCCCATATGTCTCTACTTCTCCCTAGGACAATAATGTCATGTTTAACACGGAGCCTCCAGCTGGGACCCGGGCAGTCCCTGGAGGTAAGTGTCCGACAAGCCTCTGTGGAGATGGTGTGGTTGGTTCCCATTGTGGGTAAAGAAAGGGAGGATCTGGCCGGGAGGTGGTGGCGCACGCCTTTAATCCCAGTACTCACAGTACTCGGGAGGCAGAGGCAGGCGGATCTCTGGGAGTTCGAGGCCAGCCTGGTCTACAAGAGCTAGTTTCGGGACAGGCACCAAAGCTACGGAGAAACCCTGTCTCGAAAAACAAAAAAAAACAAAAACAAAACAAAACAAACAAAAACAAGAAAGGGAGGATCTGGACTCGTTTGTGTGCCCCTTGGCAATGTAGTTAACCTTCCCTTGTCTTGTTCCTAACTGGTGAGGATAATATCCGTCATTAGACTAGGCTGTTACAAGGAATCGTTAAAGCACATGGCATTTAAGTCTCTTCTCAAGTTCTCTAATGGTTAGGATCCGCTAATTAGCTGAGTGATTAATGACACCTGCCTGCTGTCTAGGTTTTAGGCTACTGTTTGGGGTTCTGTGTGGGGAACAAACGATGCTGAGTAAGGCTCTGACCTATGCTACTCAGCTTCTAGGCAGAGATAAGGCCTCCAGAGGGCTGGGCAGTGGTGGCACACGCCTTTAATCCCCACACAGGGGAGGACGAGGCAGGCATATATGTTCAAAGCCAGTCCAGTCTACAGAGCGGGTTCCAGGACAGCGAGGGTACACACAGAAAAACCCTGTCTCAACAAACAAGCAAGCCCTCCAGAGAATAAGTTGGCTGTGTAGGAGCTAAGTAATAAGCAGGAGAGCAGCTTGAAGAACATCCGACAGGCCAGCCAAAGCTCTGCAGTGAGATGCTGTCTCCTCCCCCTGCCAGAAAAAAAGCCATGTGATTATGGGTCATAAGCCACTTCGGTGAGAAGTGGGGCGGCCAGGCCTCCACCTGTCACCAGGCCACTCTGCCTCTGAACCCTTCTCCAAAGGAACAACATAACTACTACTGACAAGCAGGGCTTTCTGAACCAGAGGTCCCCTCCCAACATGTTCCCCTTCCTTCCTTACTCTTAGGTGGCTGCCGAGTGATGGAACAAAAAGAGGTTCCCAGTGGGTTCAGGGATGAAGCCTGTGGCAAGGAAACTCCACCTGGCTATGCCGGCCTCTGTCAGTGAGTGCCTGCCAGAGCATGGAGCATGGCATTGGGATGAGGGCTAGGTTGCCCAGGCAGTAAGATGGGGTCTCTGGGGCCAGTTGGTCCTTCAGAGAGTAGGGGGGAGGGAAGGAGGGGCCTGCTGGTCAAGGGTGTGGATGGGTAGTGGCAGGCAGCACAGAGATTCTGGCTGACACTGCCTGCAAGGAGAGCAAGCAGAGGAGCTAATAGTCTTGTTCATGTAAGAATCTACTGTGTCCAGGACAGCCCAGGCTCTCCACAGAGAAGCCCTGTCTCAGAAAAAGAACAATCCCACTGTGGTCTGGTGAGACAATTATGTGGGGGTAAAAAGGTGCTTAGTGCCAAGCATGAGGAGCATAGTTCTACCCCCCCTCCCCAAACCCACATGGTGAAAGGAGAGAACCAGCTCGCAAGTTGTCCTGTGACATGAGTGTGGGGTGGGCACATATAATAACACAAAAAGGAAAAATCCAAACGCCCAACAAGATGTTAGGTCACACAGTTAATATTAGACAGCAGAGTAAATATTCTGCTCCCTCATCTCCCCAGGGCACACTACAAAGAATATCTTGTGAGCCTCATCAATGCCCATTCGTTGGACCCAGCAACGCTGTATGATGTGGAGGAGCTGGAGACAGCCACTGTACGCTACCTACATGTACATCCCCAGGCAGTGGAAGGAGAGGACCGTCCTGCCTACCAGGCCCGACTGTTACAGGTAATGTCAGCCCTCCACTGTACCTCCACCCCTACCTTCCAGAAGTCACCTGCCACGCCCATTTTTCTACTCCAGGTTTTCAGTATCATTATCTTCTCCTTTACAGAAGCTGACAGAAGAGGTTCCCTTGGGACAGAGCATCGCCCGTAGAAGGAAGTAGCTGAGGGCAAGAGTCCTGATGAGGCTTCACCACCCTGCCCTCAGCAACAGCTCCGGCACCAATAAAGAGGCATCTTATGGCCTAGGCTTCTTGGTGGTCCTTCTTCCTGGCCTCACCTTCTTGGGGCCTTAGGGAAAGGGAAGGGGTAGGCAAACAGAGTCTTGTTGAAAGGGCCCTCTGCAGCTTGCCATCCGACTTCCCTGGACTCCTGGCAGGAAGAAATGAAATGCCATGGATATATGGACAAGAGAGACCCTCCACATCTCTAACCACCTGGTGTGGGCATCTCTGCTTCCTTTTTCTCATTTAACCTGGCTGCTGTGTGAAATCACTTAAAACATAGCAAGCAGACACTTGGGGAGCACAAATGAGCCCCCAGGTCAGATGCAGAGACTAGCCTTCTAAGAGGCAGCAGGGTCTCACAAGGGAATCCTCGTTGGAGGACGGAGGGGCTTGACTGGAGCCACTGGCCTGCTCTGCTGTCAGTCAACGCATGCTTCCCTCTAGTGGTAACTGCCGGCCCTGCAACTCAGACCACGTGATTTCTGGGAAATGTACCTCCCAAGAGGAGAACCGAAACTTAGGGTGGGGCTGTAGAGAGGGGAGGAGAGATCAGAAACCTAGCCTAGAACGAGCCAAGCCTGGGACATCCTCGGTCGCTCAGGTAAGAGCAACTCTGGAGGGCTATCAGTTGGGAGGGCGGTGAGATGAGGGCTCCCAGGCTCCTGTGCTAGACGAGGATCAGACCAGGCTCTGGTCAGAAAATAGGTTTGACCAGTTAGGCGGACAGGAGGAAGGCCCTTGCTCAGCCTCAGTTGACCTTTGTTTTCTTGCCTCTGGCCCTGCCTCCTGCTGCTTCAGCTCCACCCTTTCCCCCAGCTATCTGCCCCACCTACCCCTCCAGTGCAGGGAGCCATGGGGGTAAAGGGGTAAGTAGACTGGGGAGCTGTCTTAAAAGCAATGTTGCCTCTTTGTTTGCTTGGGATCTACACAGTCTGTCACCAGGAGCAGGTCATTAAGGGAATCCTCCCAAATAAGATTTCTGAAACACCTCAACATTAAGACCAAGGTTTCCTTCCAGGTGTAATAACTTGGAATATAGTTTTTACCTCAGAATGTTTCAAGAGAAAAAAACATGGAAGGGTCTTCGGGGAAGGGCTGTTGCAGGAAACTGGCCCCAGTGATCAAAGTTTAGTAAACACTTCCAATTTGTCGGTTCACCCTGGGCATGGCAGCACACACCTTTTGATCCCAGCACTTCAAAGGCAGGTGGATCTCTGTTTAAGTTCAGCCTAGTCTATATAGCTAGTCCCAGGGCAGCCAGGATGACTTAGTGAGATCCTGTGTCAAATTTTAAAAACAGTTCTATGTATCCTGCTTCTCTTCTTAGGATGGCCTCAGGCAAACCACGCTGCACCCGCAAACTGCGGAGTTGGATAATCGAGCAGTTGGAGAGTGGGCAGTTCCTAGGGGTGTGCTGGGATGACACAGCTAAGACCATGTTCCGGATTCCCTGGAAGCACGCAGGCAAGCAAGACTTCCGAGAGGACCAGGATGCTGCCATATTCAAGGTGAGAGGGCCTGGAGCCAGCATCCCTCAAGTAAAGGATAATGTCTGCACTGGCGTGTTCACGACCAGGTGCTTCTGTCTGTCTGGGTTGTGGATAAAGTGAGGCTGTGTCGTTTGCAGAGCCACGGGGTGTTACCAAGGGTTTCATGCTGGCAAGAATGGAATCCAGACCCAGTGCAGGCTCGTCTAAGCTCACTGCTTGTGATCAGACCACACGCCTGTGCTGTCAGCCATTTGGGGGGACATCTAGAGTATGTAATACTTTGTCTTTTCGTCACTTCATCTCTTACTAGGCGTGGGCACTGTTTAAGGAGAAGCACAAGGATGGGGACATAGGACACCCTGCTGTCTGGAAGACTCGCCTGCGCTGTGCCCTCAATAAGAGTTCTGAATTTGAAGAGGTTCCTGAGAGAGGCCGTATGGATGTTGCTGAACCCTACAAAGTATATCGGATCCTGCCACCAGGAACCCTCCCTGGTGAGTGATCCCTGCCCAGCTGCTCCTGGAATGAGCAGATTGACCAGGAAGGTGGAGATAAGCCCTCTGGGGACTGGCAGGCCTTCCTGGGCTCCCTCGTCCTGCCAAACAGTTGCTTTGGGTCCTTCCTACCGTCTTCCCCTGGAAAAGGCTCTGACTCTCCTCCTCCTGCCACATTTCCACAGCCCAGCCGAGAAGCCAGAAACCACCATTAAAGCGATCCATCAGTTCTGTGTCACCAGAGAGGGAAGAGAGGGAAGAGAGCAAAGTAAGGAAGGCACCCTCAAGAATTCGACGGTTATTCCCATCCTCAAGACTCCTTCAGAGTGTTGGGAAGGGGAATAGGTAGGCCAAAGAGCAGGGTGGTCCTCAAAAGAAGAGGTGTGCCATTAACAGATGTTGTATCCGTAGGCGAAGGGGAGGGCCAGTGGGATTGTAAAACACTCAGACAGCAGCGGTGGCAGCAACAGCAGCAGTGACTACTGCAGTAACAGCGGCGACAGCAGCCCTGAACCAGAGGAAGGTACTGTTTCTCCTGCCTTTATGTCCCTGTTGCACTGTCTGTGTCAGGCTCTTTGGTCTCACTCTGAGTGATCGGTGCCTTTGCCTCTCCAGATGCTAGCACAACAAAAGCTCCCATTCAAGAGGACCCAGTGTTCGTGGAGCATCTGCTTCCTCCAAACTCAGGTAGGTGCCCTTTCTGACCCTTCTCTGCCCCCTTCCTCTGCCCCTGCGTGCATTGTTACAACACTTGTCTGAGTTGAGTGTTCCTGTGGCTGACCGTACTCAGTAGAACTTTTCTCGCCCTTGGGGAAAAACCTCCTTAAATTCTCTGTTCCTTGAATAGTCACATTGAGATTTTTTTTTTCTTAGCCCTGGCTGACCTCGAACTTGCTCTAGTGAGATGTTTATTTCTTTATTGTCCAGAAAAGTCCAGTCTCTGAGACCTTGTTGTAAACGGCACAGTTGTGAGCATTAAGCTCTGCTGGGAGTGACTCCTGAATGACAGGAAACCTTTGCCACCAACCCTGTGTTGGGAGGAAGGCATGCACATGGAGGAGGAGGCACCTCTCCTTCCTTCTTTATTTGTTTATTTATATTTCATGTTTGAGTTCTCTACAAGTATATCTGCAGGCCAAGAGAGAGCATCAGATCCTTCTAGATGGTTGTGAGCCACCATGTGGTTGCTAGGAATTGAACTCAGGACCTCTGGACTCCTATCTGCTGAGCAATCTCTCCAGCTCCTTCTTTTATTTTTGGTTGTGAGCCTTGCCTTTAATGGCTGAATTATCCCCCAGAGGCCTCCTTCTTTTTAAAGATAGTCTCATATTGCCCAGTCTGACCTCAGACTCACTCTGTACCTAAAGTTCACCTGAATTACTGCTCCTCCTGTGGCTGGGCTTACAGATGTGTGTTACCATGCCAAGTCTAAGGGCTTATTGCTGTGCTGGGGCTTGAACCCAGGGCTTATGTGAATGGTAGGCAACCATTCCTTCACCTGAGCCGCATTACCAAAGACATCTCTGACTCAGAAGGAGCTCCCTCAGCTCTGCAACCTTGTCTTCCCCAGCACTTGCTTGGATGCCTGTTCTGGGCTCAGTTTTCCCAGTAACAAAATGGGGACACTAGACCACAAAAAAATGAATTTCATTTTTTTCTAACACCTTGTGATGGTCATGTGCACTGTGGGGCCAGGGCCTCTTCCCAGCCTGCAGGCTCCACCTACACCTAGTACAGCTAGGCTTCTCTGCCTGCAGACTACTCGCTGCTGCTCACCTTCATCTACAGTGGCCGCGTGGTGCATGAGGTCAAGGTGCACAGCCTAGACTGTCGCCTGGTGGCTAAGCCCTCGGCATTGGAGAGCAACATACTCCCGGTGCTGTTCCCCAAACCTGATCCGCCGGAGCCTATCCAGAGCCTGCTGAATCAGCTTGAGAGAGGCATCCTGGTGGCCAGCAATTCCAGAGGCCTCTTTGTTCAGCGCCTTTGTCCCAACCCCATCTCCTGGGATGCACCTGAGGCCCCATCTGGGTCTGGTCCACATCTGCTGCCCAGCAATGAGTGTGTGGAGCTCTTCAGTACCAGCTGCTTCTGTAGAGGTAAGGGTGTCCTAGCTGGGCATCATCGCCCATCCCTTTTTCCGTGTCCCCCGGGCCTGTCCAGAGCAGATCGTCACTGCAGCCTGTGCACAGCACCCCTGCACTGTGTGGTGCTCATTGTGTGTAGCTGTGTGCTCAGCTCCGGCAGCATTTCCCTAGCCAGAGTCATGGTAGATGAGGTTCAGCTGGAGTAGCACAAGTGCGATACAGTTTGGGGAAGCGTAGTAACATCGAAGCATGGTTATATGAATGTGTGCAAACAAATTAACACAGATTTAAACCTTGTGACCATCTTCGTACATACTGGAGCACACAACTTGGTTTGTGGAAGAGCCAAGACCCTCAGACACACTTGCCCCCACCCCACCATCTCTACCACATTGTAGGCATCTCCTAAGATTGTCCCTTTCTTCTGTCCACTCTTGAAATTCTAGTTCCAGCCTCTGAATCTGGACAAAGGAGCAGAGGGAGAAGCATAGAGAAGAGAGTTAGGTGTCCCTGGGTCATGGTACCCTAGTGTTGGCAGAGGAGAAGCAAACAACAAAGGGTTGGTAGCCAGGACTGCTGCTCCTGAGGACTCCAAGGTGCCTTTCCTACAGCGTCAGGAAGACAGCTTAGCTCCTAGCATCTCTAAGCCCGGCCTTGGTGTCATGTCACTCCATTCCCAACTTCCTCTGCATCTGGCTTCCCAGACGGCTCCACTTTACTCATGGTCGTCTCTCTATAGTGTCTGTGTTTGTTTTTTAGACAAGTCCTTACACCATTCCAGGTGGCCTGGAACTCACTCAGTAGGCCAGGCTGCTGCAAATACATGGCAGCTCTCTTGGCCCAGCCTGAGTGCTGGGGTTACAGGCATACACCACCACGCTTGGCCATATGCCATGCCTGCCTTCCCTCTTTATTTATTTTATTTATTTTTATTTATTTATTTTTGATTTCT